GACTCGATACGTGTGCCGGCTCGAGCAACTCGACTGCTATTTCGTCGCTCCCTCGAGTTGTTTCTTCTTCTTCTTCTTCTTCTTCTTCTGCTGCTGCTGTTGGTTCACCCAGTTTGCCACTCTATTCCATTACAGAAAGTCTTGATCTCGCTTCAGCTGCTCGATGCACGCTTCTATCTATCTATTTTTGTTTGAGTCTTCTCTCTCGTGTTTTTCTTTTTCTTTCTAGAAACTGGTACAAATTGGTGAAATAATTATAGATATTATTTTGGAGATTTAAATATAGATTTTGTGTACGAATGAGAGGATATAGGTATAAATATATATATATGTATTTGAAATGCAATTTTAAAGGTAAGAATAAGAGTGTTACTTACTGTTAGAGAAAAAGAAGTATATGGAAAGTTGTACAGTCTCGTAGATCAAATAATTAGTCATCGAGGAAAGGAAGGAAGTGTTGTCAAAGAGTTAGTCATTGAGAGACTCGTTCTCAAGAAAGAAAGAGAAGAAAGAAAGAAAGAAAGAAAGACCATTGACTTTCGTTTCTTTTCCCCCCCTTTCATTTTCGTTCAAGTTCATTTTCCCAAGGATTCATCAAGAATTTCTCACGTTTCGAGGATCAGAAGCGCGCGGGAATTCCAAGGAATGCGTCGAATCGATTTTTCGTTTTTTCTTCTCGTAACCGCTTTCACGAATCGCGTGAATCACGCATACTGTTCACGCTATTGATCCACAACAATGATTTTCTTCACACATATCCAAAAAAAAAAAAGAAAATTTTCTATCCGTTTTCCTTTGAATCGATGCATATTTGTTGATCGAGAAACGTTGACAGAACGAGAAATATTGCTTCCTAGATTCGAGGATCGATCGATCTATGGAATCGAATGATCGATCGAATGATCGATAATATCAGACTCGTCGCAAAATTTCGATCAAATTTTCATCATAAACGTCATCGTTCGAAGCCGATGGCACGACCAACGATTGGTATCGTAGGTGTCAAGGCCCTGTACAGTTGCGAGTTCCGTAATCGCAGAGACTATTGAGCTCGAAGCGGAGAGGCAGAAGGTGGTAGGTGCCGCGTTAAAGGTCTTTACGTCTCGTTGCGCAAGAAGAATGTCGATCCATTAGGACCAGGCCAGGCCAGGCCATGCCATGCCATGCCAGGCCAGCCACGGTAATCCACGACTAACGATATCGAACAATTCGCATTGACATCGTTCCTTTATTCTCTCCCCCTCCTTTCCTTGCTTTCTTAATCGAATCCTTTGGTGACAAATCGAATCCTACGCGATTCGTGGCTCGAGAGAGATATAGCGCCTTGTCGGGTAGATCGTGGTCAGGCGCGCTAGAGAATAACGAATAACCTTGTTTCCTCGTATGTATTTCGAAATAATCTCTTGGTTGAACCCTAATTTCGAAGATATGCAATCCGCTGGATTGTACTCAAACGCAATACACTATGAGTAATAATATCACAATGAAATATATATATATATATATATATATATATATATATCAGTTATTGAGAGATAGAGTAATTTCGTTCACCAGAGAGATTAAGATAAATATTTCTCTCAACGAGTTGAATCTAAGATTATGCAATACCACAATAATCTAGAAAATATAAATATAGTGGATCAGGCGATTCGTAGAGTTCAAACTTCCTGCACACGATTTGAACTGATCGTTCATTGGAAAGATCGACATCAACATTTGACAATTTTTGAATTTTCGAAACGAGTCTATGCAAGACCGCGCAATGTTTAGAAAGTAAGAACGTGGTCAAACTGACGGGTAGGCTATTGTCAGGCGCAACCTTGTCCGTTGCCACGATTCGGGCTAGATCAAGGTTGGAACGTGCAAGTTCGATCGCTTTCTCGCGAGATATCCTCGATACATTTCCTCGAAGAGATGAAAACGTCATAAACATCGATATATCTCGGTTTCTCTGGTGTTTTGCGTAAGGGACAAACACCGTTTGTGACCACCGATGTTTGATACACCCACAGAGGTATAACGTACCCGCGAGACTTTCTCTCGACAAGGAGAGCACTCGTCGAGCGCCCCTTTGCCGCGCAACCACGCGAACGAACGCAGGGAACAATGTGTCTTCTCGGCGCAATAAGAGTACAGAGGCTCGTTCCCTGATCGAGGCTGGGTGGACCCCGTGCGCCGAGCCAACTAAACGCGGCGTTACGATTGGATGATGGATGAATTAACCGTGGTCGATTACCATTCAACTTGGCGCCTACTATATCCGCTGCACCTCGGACCTTCTGCGTACAAATCGAAGGCTAAATACGGCCGGCCATTGACTGTGCACGCGTGCACAGGTGTGTGAGTCCGTGATACCTGAAATTACGACCGTAAAAATCCTACGGCCAGAAGCACGGATTTCGAACGGTTCGTTGGCCCTTTGTTTTCGAGTATCGATTGTGGGTAACTTTTCGATAAATAATATTGGAAGCGTTACGTCGAATAGGTTGGATTGGGATGTTTTCGTTTCGAATATATTAGATTGTGAATCTATACGATTTATCTATTGTGATTTATTTATTTATTTCTCTTTTCGTTTAAAGTTAATGAACGTTGAAATGCCGAGTGTCTTTTCGATCGAAATTTTCTAATTGTAATAGGAAAAGTTTGGATCTCTCAATGTGCTTCTAGAACAATCGTTCCAATCTCATGATGTCTATGTATATAAAATTGAATAATTTATATTCGCTTTTTGGAAGAATAAAGATTCTTTTAAAAATACCACTTGAGAGTCATCATTGTTCCATCTACTTTATCCGCGTCTTTTTTCGCAATGGCATTTCGTTTCTTTTTTTTTTACCTCTTCGTACGTAAAACGGTTGCAAAACGCATGGCAAAGCATTGAACGCATGACACATCTCGAAAACACTCGCTTTACGTAGGTTCCATCGGTCAGGACGTAGGATTTAATAACCTCGTAGCCATGATCCTGTTCAATCGATCCGAGAGAATTATATCGCTGACCGTGAAACTCATAGCTAGAATCTCGATGAGAATACTTTTACCATTTGCCATTAACTGCAAAATATATCGATACGCTCGCGAGTCTACTCGAGAACCTTGACTGCACTTTCGCGGAACTCGAGCTGCATTTCAATGGACCTTCACGATTCAACCGATTTCTCGATACACTTTCGAGAGAGAGAGAGAGAGAGAGA